CAAGAAACTGAGCAATGAAGAAAGACAAAAAGGGAAAAAGAGGAAAAAGAAAACAAAACAAATTAATTAAAAAAAAAAAAAAAACAAGACAGGCCCCCACAGAAACAGAAAAAAAAAAAAAAACCAACATGAAAAGAAATGCTCTCAGGGATCCCTCTGCCGTCTGTGGAAGCCGAAGGGGAGTCTTCCTGCCATGCAGCTCAGCCTGTCCAGAAAGGGCTCCCAACTCAAGAAAGGTAAAAGAAAACAAACAAACAATTCAAAACAAACAAACGAACAAAAGCCCTGGGATTCCACCAGCGCGGCAGCCCAAACCGGGAAGCAGCTCCACACTCAAACGGAGCTCTGCAGCTCCTCAGGAAGAAGCAAAGATGGCGCATGGAGCCAGGTACTTGAGCGAAAGGAGGGGGAGGTGGGGAGAGGCAAGGAAGAAATAAAAAGAAGCGGAAAAAAAAAGTAACACTAGCAGCCAGCAAATGGCACTCAGAGAACCAGGTATTGCGGGCTGGTGTTTCTGGACAAGAGACTGTGTCCGTGGGAAGCAGAGGGGGCCAAGTGTGGGTGAAGAAGGGTAGAGAGTGGGAAAGCGTATATCACAAATTACTGTGGCTCTGCAGCCCCTCAGGAAGAAGCAAAGATGGCGCACAGAGCGAGGTACTCGAGCAAAAGGAGGGGGAGGTGGGGAGAGGCAAGGAAGAAATAAAAAGAAGCGGAAAAAAAGCAACATCAGCAGCCAACGAATGGCACTCAGAGTGCCACCCGTTCAGGTGTGTGGAATCCAAGCAGCCGCTGTTTCCCGGTCAAGAGACTGTGGCCATGGGAAGCAGAGGAGGCCGTGTCGGGGTGAAGAAGGGTGGGGGGTGGGAAAGCATAGATCGCCAATTACCGGTTGTCTTGTCACCGGCTGGAAGCTCCGTGAGGCTGCTTTTTCGTACCCCCTGTTTGCTGGTCTCCGATAAGAGTCCAAGATGGTGGATCCACTCTGTGTTAGCTGGTAGGGGACCTCTGCATGAATCTCTCCTCGCTCTTCGTTCTCTGTCAGTTTTCTCACTCCATTTGGTGCTTGGCTTGAGTTCTTTATCTCTTCATTTGATGTTTTAGGGTTTCAGGATTGTTGTATTCTCTGTTCAGCTTAGTTTTTCGGATCTTTGCTATGGAGGGACGGTGTGGTGCTTCTGCCTAGAGTGCCATTTTGCCGGAACTTTACATGGTATTTTTAAAAACTTCTTTCTTATTTCTAATCTTAACCCTCTTTTTTCTGATTTCTAATCTTAACCCTGCCCATAGCATCCAGTTTATTTATTGTTTAATCTTTCAGAATAGCTTTTGTTGTTTTAGTCTTCTTAACCAAAAGGCAATACATTTTCATTGTTTAAAAAATGAAAGAAGTGAGCAAAAAGAAGGAAATAAAAATTGTCTGTTACCTACCATCCAGGGAGAACAACTGTCGACACATTAGTGCATACTGCTTAACTTTATTTTTCTATGTGATAAATTTTGAATATATTTCTGTGTAACATGTTTCTGTATAATGCATTTTGAATATGTTTCCATGCCATTAAGTATTCTCTTATAAATTTAATGGTTGCCTCGTATTCGATTACAATAACATTCTTTTAAAAAATCCAGTTATTGGACTGCTTGTTCCAGTTTTTTTGCTATTGAAAATAGTGCTTTGACAGGCATCCTTGTGTATTATCAATCATTATTTTCTTTAACTGACTTCATAAAAGTGGAATTTCTATATTAAAAAGTATGCATATTTCTAAATTTTTAGATAAATATTGTCAAATTTCTTCACTTAAGTATAAAAGTATTCATGTCTGAATAGTGTAGTATTTTTTTTTGGTGTTTTTCAATTTGGTAGTCAAATCTTACTGCTTCAGTTTGCATTTATTTCGTTATTAGTGGGATCGATCATTTTTCTTGTTTGTTAGCCGTGCATATTTTTTTGTAGGTGCCCATTGAGATCATCTTAATTGTTTTTCTTTTGGAGTATTTGTTTTTTTATGATTGTTGTTTATTTTTAAGAGCTCCTTATTAACTTAATCACTTATTAACTCTTCATCTGTAATATTTGCTGCAAATGTTTCCCCAGTTGTTTGCCTTTTATTTCTGGTGTTTCTTAACATAGAGTCTTTAAAAATTATCTCTCTTAGCTGCTATGTCAGTAAAAGAAGTTCTTCAAAGCTTAGTGGATGATGGTATGGTTGACTGTGAAAGGATTGGAACATCTAATTATTATTGGGCTTTTCCAAGTAAAGCTCTTCACGCAAGGAAACGTAAGTTGGAGGTTCTGGAATCTCAGGTAAGTCACCACAATTAAAAATAATAGATTTGCATTGTGTCAAAGAGGTTTGTTTTACTTAACCCTCTTTTTGTTTAGTGATTTCCCTTAAATTTTTAACATGTTATTTGACTCAAAGTCTGAAGATTATCAGTATCTCTACCCTTCACCCAAACACTATGAGGACCTTACAATGTTTTAGGTTTCATTTTCCTACCTGCCATGATACTGTTTTCTAGTATTTTAGTTCCATCTTGTTTTTAACTCCTCTCTTGTTAGTCATTATTTTTATTACTTCTCTCGATAAGTGCATGTTTAGATTTACTAGCATTTTAACTTTTTTAGTTCGCTGTTAACCTCTTGCATCACGTCTGGGTTCAATTATCCTCTAAATCCTAGGTTCCTAACCTGGGGTTCATGGACACCCAGGGTGCCCATGACTAGAATGCAGACAGTGTGTAGGGGAAAAATTATATCTTTATGTTTGCTTAATTATAACTGAAATTTGCATTTCTTTCAATTTTGAATGGAGAAAATAACCTGTAATAGTATTAGTCATACCTGTGACTTTGTTGTCAATAGAAATTATTTTCATGACATATGAATTGTTAACAGACGTCTGAAAGTATCATTTACTTTCATCACCACTTCAGAATTGTGCATTTGACTTGTAGCTAGATTTTGTTATTTAATGGATGAATAAAGAAGCAAGTTATTATTAGATCATAATTTTTTAATAACTTAACTGTATTTTTATAGAATTTATTTCCTTTGTAACCCTATACAATTTGTTTTATGGATTTAAAAACACTATTTCAAGAAGGGGTCCAAGCTGAAGACATCTTTTAGTATTTTGTTCAGCCAGGGTTTACGAGTGATAAACTCTCAATCTTTGTTTGAAAACGTCTAATTTTATCACTTTTTTTTTTAAATAATATTTTATCATGTTTTTGGTGAGAGTTCACATAGAAAATTACGTTCCCATTTAACAATTTCTACACAAATTATTCAGTGACATTGGTTACATTTTTCACAGTGTACCAACATTCTTATTAATTCCATTCTGGTTGTTCCATTTCCAGTAATCTGGTTTTCCTGCCCCCTTACCTTTTCATCTTTGCTGTAGGGTGATTGTTGACCATTTGGTCTCGTATAGATGGTTTTTTTAAAGGAGCACAGTACTCACAGGTACTCACAGAATAAAATATATATTCTTTATTTTATGAGCCACTCTGATATTTAGCTAAAAGATAACCTCAGGAGAGGGTTTCAGTTCAAGGTTTAAAGAATATCATAGGGCAGTAGTCTCAGGCAGTCCTCTAGTCTCAACCGGTCCAGTAAGTCTGAACTTTTTAAGAATTTGAGTTGTGTTTCACATTTTTTCCTGTTCTATCAGGATCCATATATTGTAGCTCTGATCAGAACAGTCAGTAGTGGTATCTGGGTACCATCTAGTTCTTCTGGCCTCAGGGTAGATGAAGCCGTGGTGGTTCATGTAGACTCTTAGTCCTATAGACTAGTTTCTTCTCTGAGTCTTTGGTTTCCTTCTTTCTTTTCAGCTCTGGACAAATAGAGACCAATAGCTGTATCTTAGATGGCTGCTTAAAGGCTTCTAAGACCGCAGACACTATTCACCAGACTAGGATATAGAACATAAACTTTATGAACTACATTATGCCAAATGACCAAGTTGTCCCACAAGACTATGGTCCTGAGCTATCAAACCCCGAAAACCAAACTCACGAGGTGTTTATGTCTAATAAGTATCTGTGTCCCCTATGTGGTTTATTATATATATGACTATATATAATGCACACACATACCTGTGTATAAATATACATATAAAATCCAAACCAAACCCATTGCTGTCTAGTCAGTTCTGACTCATAGCGACCCTATAGGTCAGAGTAGAACTGGCTCCACGGGGTTTCCAAGGCTGTAATCTTTATGGAAGCAGATTGCCACATCTTTGTCCCACAGTGTGGCTGGTGGATTCAAAGCACTGACCTTTCGGTTAGTAGCTAAGTGTTTTAACCACTGTGCAACCGGGCCGCCTTACATATACATATAGGTATATCTGTATGTGTATACGGAAACCCTGGTGGCATAGTGGTTAAGAGTTTGGCTGCTAACCAAAAGTTGGCAGTTTGAATCCACTAGGGCAGCTGTACTCAGAGTTGACTTGACGGCAGTGGATTTGGATTTTTTTGATATGTGTATATATAGGTACACACATATATATACTCAAACACATATATGCATGTATACATACATGTGTAACCACACACATTTTTTTGGTTTTGGTTGTTGTTAGTGTTGCTGCAAAATGTCTTATCCTTTTGCCATCACTTCTTGAATATAGAATACTATATTCACAGTTATTTTTCCTTAGTGCTTTGGAAATATTTATTGTCTTGTGGCATCTGTTGTTGCTAATGAAATGTTTGCCATCAGTCTAATTGTCTTTTTTTATTATTAATCTCTCTTCTGTTTGCTTTAAGATTTTTTTCTTAATCTTTGATACTGTGTTTTTATGATGTTGTGTCATGATTAGTCTTAATTTGCATTTGTTTGTATTTATTCTGCTTAAGACACTGCTGCTTCAATCTGATGACTGAAGTCTTCTAGAAAATTCTGAAGTAGTATTAAACTATTTCCTCTTCCCTATTATCTCTGTTCTTTGCTTCTGAAGTTCCTATTTGGCATAAATTGAGCTTTCTGATGTTACCCTCCATGTTGTTTCATAGCTCGTTTTATTTTCCTGAATTTTGGAGGCTATAAATTTGGCTTGTGTATCTGCTGCTACCCCTTGTGTTTTGTTTCCCTGTGTGTTTTTTATTTGTGAGTTCATGTTCACTCGGTGGTGGTTAGCCTTAGGGAGCCACAGGTGCTCTAGTTTGTGAAAATAGTGGCTCAGGCTTCTTTGAGTGACTCCAAGGTACTTTAGTGGTTATGGATCAATTTTTATGTTAATTTCTTGGCTTGCAGTTCCAGTGCACATGGATAGTATATTCAGGGTACACATCTGTTCATGGCATGGGTGTAGAGATTTGTTTTCTTGTTGGCAACTTCCCCCCAGCCTCAGCCTAAGTCCAGGAAAGAGGGAAGTCTACCTTTACACTATTTTCCAGCACTTTCTAGTACTTTGAAGTATATACAGGAACTCAGCTCTAGCTCCCCCCACCTCGCATGACCCTTCAGGTCTCCTTTCCTCATGTGCATGTTAGAATCCTACCCCCTAGTAACCAATGCTTATATCAGGTCTAAACTCACTGGCCAACAGAACATCATATTCCTCTTGTTGCTCTGACTTTGCTTTCTCTGATTTCTATTATCTAGGGAAAGCCTTTTCCTCTTTTTGAGCTTGATTATATATCTTAACACTTTTTTGTAGTTGTTATATTTAATCCAACATTTATATGTGTCAGTAGTGATTGAGAAAGCTTTCTCTGACAGCTTAGCCCACTATTCTCATGCATGTTCGTACAGTACAGTGTATACTTGTAAATTATGACCATTTAGCATTATTGAAACTAGTGTACATCTCATCGTGTTTAAGAACTTAAATAAATACTGAACTTTATATTTTATACATTCTTAATTATTTTATTTCAGTTGAGTCTGTTGTAATGTCCCCCATTTCATTTCTTATTTGGGTTATTTGCATCCTCTCCTGTTTTTCTTTTGTCAGTTTGGCCAGTAATTTGTCGATTTTGTGATTCTTTCAAAGAACCAACTTTTGGTTTTGTTGATTCTTTCTATTGTTTTTCTGTTCTCTATTTCATTTATTTCTGCTTTGATCTTTATTATTTCCTTCTGGTGGCTGTGAGCTTCTTTTGCTGTTGTCTGTTTGTTCGAGTTGTGTAGCTAATGTTTTGATTTTGTCCCTTCTCTCGATGTGTGCATCTATTGCTATAAATTGTCCTCTGAGGACTGCCTTTGCTGTGTCCCAAAGGTTTTGGTATGATATGTTTTCATTCTTGTTTGATTCTAGGAATTTTTTTATTCCATCTTTGATTTCTTCTATTACCCAGTGGTTTGTAAGCAGGGTATTACTCAGTTTCCATGTAATTGATTTTTTTCCCTTGCTCTTCCTGTTGTTAATTTCTACTTTGATGGCGTTGTGATCAGAGAAGATACTTTGTGTTATCTCAGTGTTTTGGATTTTGTTGAGGGTTGCTTTGTGGCCTAAGATGTGGTCTATTCTGGAGAACATTCCATGTGCATTGGAAAAGTAAACATTCTTAATTATTTTAATGAAACTATCATGGATTAAATCTTTTTTTTTAAGCAAAATATAGTTTTCTAATCCAAAACACTTAGATTAGAATTTTTGTTATGCTATCAATGTTGTTAGTATGGTGTTAGATGTTAGTATAATTAAACTTAGATTTAAAGTTTCTCATTTCTTGATAGCAGAAATTAGAAGTCCTGATATACTGAGATGGTCTTTCTCTTTCATCATATCCACTTCTACTCTTGACTATGTTCTAGCTACTTCAAAGTCCTTGCTCTCCCCCTTACATTGCATCCTTATATATACACAAAAGATCCGTTAAATGTCCGACTGCATCAGGTGACATTCATCATTTTTGCTCAGATTCTGAAATTATGTAAGTAACCATATCTTGTGATGTCTACTTCTCTGCTATTGTTCTTTTGTTCCTTTATTACATGCTACTTCTTAATGAATGTCTGTGACTCCTCAGGGACAATTTCTGTTAATTTCTTCCCTGAATGAGCCATACTTTCTTGTTTCTTTGCATGCTTTTCTTTTTGTTGTGGTTGTTGTTGAAAACTGGGCATTGTGATTATTATAATGTGTAACTTGGAAATCAGATTATTCCCTCTCCTCAGGGTGTTTTCTCTATGGTGGTATTTTTCATGGTGGCACAGTGGTTAAGCACTCAGCTGTGAACCAAAAGGTAGACAGTTTGAACCCTCCAGCTGCTCCACAGGAGAAAGATGTGGCCATCTGCTTCCATAAAGATTACAGCCTTGGAAGCCCTATGGGGCAGTTT